TTGCAAAATTAGATATTTCCATTTGGACAACATTACAATTTGCTTGTTCCACCATAATTGCTTGATCTACAATGTTGCCTAGAGTAGTTCAATAATTCAATTACTAAATTCACAATACTAAAATGGTCATTCAATTTTGCAGTATGCATAAATGATAAATGATTACCTAATCATTGATTAGGTATCACATTGTTTGCAGATCAATTGAATGGTTTGGAGCGAAAATGTAATACAGAAAAGTTGAGCGGAAAAATTTCGATGATGAATGAGCGGAAAAGGGATAGCTATATAGCAGCAGCGTACCCAGAATTTTTTTTTGGAGGGTGCAAAATCGATTTTTTTGTTCATTTTTTTCTTTATGGTGCAACAAAAATTTTGTTGCACCTTTGAAATTTTTGGAGGGTGCAGTGCACCCATTGCACAGGCCTGGGTACGGCGCTGCTATATAGTAAACTGTATAGTAAACTATAGTGAACTATATATAGCTATCCCTTTTCATTTGACATTTTTCCGCTCAACTTTTCTGTATTACATTTTCGCTCCAAACCATTCAATTAATCTATGAGTTCAACCGATTCCATAGAATATTTCGACAACAAGCTTGAATTTTCAATCTAAGTCTTGAATCACGTGGAATCGGTTTGAATGATAATTCTTGATCATTTTGCGGTGGAAATTATTGTTCATCAAATCTTCATCCGTTTGCTATGAACTCCATCGGAATTGAATCAATTTCAATGGGAACATGTGAAAATTTGCCTAAAATCCCATTAAAATGGAAATTAGAGAAAAGAAAATGGCAATCGAATCGTTTAGTCCACTCAATTGGGTTAACTGTGTATTGTGCTTGTTTATTTCATCATTTCTGCGATGGTAGTGTTATTCGTTATGTCGATGCACGGTTCGAGTGTGGAAAGCATTCCGTTCAAAAAACATTTTGCATATTTTTCTTTAGAGTATGTGAGTTATCTCTGCACAACCATACTTGGCTAGAAATATTCCATTTCGGATAAAACATTGAGCGGAAAGCATAAATTCCCCGAAGGCGTGTGCATTACACACTATGTGCATTCAGTATGTGTGAATAGCATTCGATCGAAAAGAAAGGACGAAGCAGAGAGAGAGAGAGCGATGGGGAGAGTGAAAGAGCTTCCAAATAAAAGCCGAATGGAATCTTGTTTGTGCATTATTTATACAGCTACATTTCAGACAGTTTATTTGATATATGCAAAATAAATAAGAGTTATGTCAAAAGCGAGCAGTTTATGAGTACATGCCGTGGATACTACAATCGAATCGCGCCATGCACATAGTGTATTCGCTACAAGTATGCACGATAGAGCTAGAGCTAACATTTCATCGATACCCGATAATCATTTCTCAAACATAGTGAACAAAGTCATTGTTTTTTCTCTCTTGCATTTTCCTCGTCGTCGACGAAAGTAGAAGCAAGAAAAAAAAAGCGATTTGGCGACGCGCAAGACGAAAAAGATGCATGCACATCGAACACGTAGCCATACATACGATTGAATGCGAGAACGTGTATTGCGGTTTATTGCATTTGAATCAACTCTATCTTCGTCGTTTGTCGCTCCGTTGTGTGTACTACACAGTCCTTATTAAGGCTGTGAAAAATGAAAATTTACTGCACTTCTTATGCTTTGCTAACATAATTGCGCCAGCGCCACTGTGGAACTCTTCGCTCATCTATTTCATGAATGCACAGAACATGAATTATATTTATATTTATATTGTTTGCGTGCAATCCCGATCGAATGTACGAGATTCACTTTTTCACTTAGGAGTCATACTTTATTTATACAGACAGAAAAAAAATGTTCCTTGCGACTATTTCATCTGCTCTTTCGACCATTACCTTACCGGAGAATGAGTGGGCGAGGGAGCAAAGAAACAGAAAGAAGGATGACGTGCACGAGAATTTGTGCGGCGCCGTGTTCGTGATGTGCATTGTTTTCTTATCTTAGCATTTCCATGAGTTTATAATGCTTCATTTCATGTTGCGTTTCATACAAATTTTATGAGGATGGGAATCGAATAGAATGGGCATGTTTACAATCTCATATGTTTAATGCATGAACGTCGTTCACTACTCCTTTCTTCTCTCGCTCTCTCTCCCACTCCTTTTCATTTTATTGTTTTTGATATTGAAGAAGGGAAAAAGCAATTTTGTTGAACTTTTTTTTAATATACATTCAAATAAAGCCGATGAAAACAGCAACACAAGCCCAAAAAATTCGGCGTATTCGCCGATGGTGATGCGAGTGAATTCGGTTTTCGTTGTTGTTGCTGCTGTTATTTTTATTTTGTTTTCCTCTGTTTTTCTATAGGTTATGTAGGGTATTTACTACATATACATATGTGATAAACAAGCGATACAAGTTAATGCAAAATTTATCAATAAACGTTGCCTGTTATTTTTCACTGTCGCAATATTTTTCTATTAAAGCCGGAAGAGCACACAATTCATTCTTAAATGCACGGTAATTACACATCCGTTCAAGATATCCTAATTTATGCTCATTGATTCGATGTGGTGGCAAAGGAAACGTTATATATATTTTTCTCTCGCCTTCTTATGCTCATTCACATACGACTACATCAATTCATAAGCAAACACATTGATTTGCCAATTCCGGTACAACACAAACACACACTTGCACACAGTCATCGTTGCCGACGTGCTTATTCACATTGCTTTGCCATAAATGCGCGTCGTAGATTAACTTTACACATGGAGCATGTGATGTGTGCCGTATTTTCATGCGTATTTTCATATGAATAGAATTTGATTAAAATGTTTATTACATTTCGAATCACCATTCATTTATTCGATTCGTTTCATTACATTACATTTTGTAACATTCAAATTTAACGGCGTGCGCGCACATGATATTTCGCCCGCAATTCAAAGACTCGAAATTGGGGCTTTTTTTTATTGTACGTGCGTTTTCCTATTCATTTCCTTCTCTCTTTTGTTGTATATATGTGTGTGTATGTGTCATTTTCGGAACTGAAAAGATATTCAATTTGCTGCAATCAGCAAAAAGCATTTTTTATTCGGTAGTGGCGTTCGTCTGATTCTCTTCTATTTCAATGCTGTTCTGTAGTAAACATTCAATTTAGCATGGCTATTTGTTGCGTGTGTGATGGTGGAGAGAAACATCAGCGAGAACATCAAATCCAGGCACGGTTTTCCGTTGTTGTTGTGTGATTCAACTTTCGGATCGTCCGTCGATGGAATCTCATCAATGTGACTCAAAGACGGCAAAGACGGTGAAGAAGCAAAGAAACACAGTATAATAAATATATGACTTTGACCGTGGAGAAAAATCGTTCAAATATGTTTTGTATTGTTTGGTATATCGACAAGTGTGGATTTGATGTCTATCGTCCATTGGAAAACCCCCGTCAAACAACAAATCGGCATTGGATGTGAGTGTGATTTGTCTTTTGGTCTTGCGAAAAGAGAGAGAGAGAGAGAGAGAGAGAGAGAGAGAGAGAGAGAGAGAGA